TCTAGGACTCGGTTAATTCTGCACCTGAAACAAAGGTCGAAACTGTTGTGACTAGACATGATCGTACTGAAATTCCACTGAAAGGTTTTCAGAATCCTCCGAATTCTGTGTTGTCTCGTTTGCCACCCACACAGCACAGCAGGAAGCGAAATCCCCAAATGTGCAGGAGTCAAAACTGAACTGAAAGCGACAATACTGATGGAAGCCTCGGCGGTTTCAGCTGAGCGGTGCCTGCACACAGCCCGGAGACCTGTTCCCACATAATCAGCTGACCCTCTGCCAACCAGGCGAGATGCCTCCGGGCTATGCTTCGGGGTTTCGAGCAGCACATTATCGCTTTACACCGCAGCACCTCACATCCCCTCCGAGAGGCCGCAAAGGCCAGAACACTGGCTGCCGGATCTCATTGCTCCCCAAGCATTTCATGCTCAACTCTGTTACGGCTAATTGGTGAGGGAGCATCCTGGGGATCCAACACAGCAGAAACACACATGCACATACACAAGCACACACACACACACACACACACACATGGGTATGTGCGGTGGCCTCTCGCAGCCTGCCGGGTCTGGGTCCAGTGCCAGGCTCCGTCTTGGGCTCCCCACAGAATAAAGAGCGGCTCTGTTCCGCGGGCCTGATGCACAGGATTCAGCCACTGTTCACCCTCTGCGCCTCAGACAATACCCATTGTTCTGCTTTTTAATGAAGAAGAGTCGACATGGAAAAAAACTCAAAAGGTTAGCTTAGTCACTTCCTGGGTTCCATGCAGGAGAGTATGAGATGGTCGTGTCTTCACATGGTGGATGACATGGCAACAGAGAGCCAGAACTATCCGACTTGATTTAACAGCTTTTCATTTTCCTGCAGTTGTTCACGAAAATACAGATAAGCAACAGATTAAAGAAACAAAACTCCACAAGCTGAGCATTACAATCACTTTTGTCAAACCGTGACCACGTAAAACAACACAATACGTTCATTTTGATGCATGCAAATCCCAGATTCGATCTCTTTTCTCTGCACGATGCTCGGCAGCCAGTCACTAACCGACCCTGTGTACCACGAGGTGCCGAGCAGGTAGGTCACCGTGGCTTAAAACCGCTGCCTGATGGGAGTGAAAAATGAGGTAGGTGTGAGCTGTGGGACTGAACTCAAATGTGCGAGCCATGAAACCAAAACAATTACCTGAAAGTTTAAAAAAAAAAAAGTTCAATTAAATTAGGAGGGAACTGTGTCATAATTCTCTGTGTATCTGTCAGCGTGACTGATGCTTCACACTTTACACTTATTTTTGTTCATATCACTGCTTTGATTAATGGAACTTTAAATTCACCTTCAGCCTGAATTTCAGAACCCAATTCATTTATGTGGAGAAGCTGAAACTTGAAGAAGAGTGCAGGTTAAAAAAAAAAAACCTGCACACCCACTCTGGAGTGAACCTGTCAATGTGACAAATTAGACTTCAGTTAAACATGAAGGCTACTCTTGTGATTAATCTGGGGAGTAGATTTCAGATGCAGTACCTCCCGGCACAAATAACAGCAGCTCGCGGCGCTTCGGCAGCATTTAAACAAAGCAGCTTAGATGTAATCTGGGCAGACTATTGAGAAGAGCAGCAACAACAACAGCTAAGCCTGTAGTCTCCCATATGGCATTTAAACAAGTACTGGCTGTAAACTTCTCTGCCTCCCTGACAGCAGTCATGATACTCGGCAAAGGCCCTGAGATTCGAGCGGACGCTACCCTGGATGTGGCTACGATTTAATTTGACGTCAGCTCTGCGGTCGAGCTGAGGCAGAGGAGCAGACATGAGGCCTGAGCTGCATTCCTGCTACACGGAGTCATTTTCCTTTGGTTCGGTGTGAAGCATATAGGCTCCCAAATACTGTACATGTGACTCACGGAGATGGATTGCAGTCATCTCACATGCTTTCAGCTATTGTGCACTTATCGACCAAAAGCACAACTAAAAGCTTTGCTCACACCCTGTAATAGTCGTCTGAATCACATTGGATTGATTAGGCAATAAGTGCGGAGAAAAACTGATCCGCTGGGACGCTGAGACGGCCAGCGATGAGATAAGTTCACTGGGATAGCGGCGTTGTGCTCGTGCAGAGTAAACATCGAAAGGGCTAGCTCACGATCATGTGCAACCCATCTGCAGGATAAATGTGTCACCAAAACCGAGAGAGGCGAGGAGGCTTCCAAGAGTAACCGGACACAGAGAGAAGCACAGTCAAATCAAAAAAGTTAATACATTTCCAGACAGGAAATCTACCCTCCTTCAATACTTTAAACAATGAATATTTAATCTCCGTCTAACTTCACGGTCGCATGTGAATCAGCAACTCCCATCATGGCAGAGGACTGATATTACAATTAGCCATTTCAAAGACCAGGACTGGGCTCCAGGGATTCAAGAGACTGACACTTCAATGGGAGCTTTTCATTTAGCAGAAACTGCAGAGTCAGCTGGCAGTAAACCACTGGAGCACACAGTGATACCAAACACAACCTTATCCAAGTGAGGTGGGTTAAAATTTAACTCACTTTCAAGGAGCTGTTAAATTACCCCGACGTGTTAAGTTGACATTATTTGGAAATGCACGCTGCTTTTGGTTTAAACTTCTAAACACAAGTGTTCCTACGAAAAGGCAAGAACGTTTAAAAGAAAACATGGAAATGGCAAAGAGGGTATTTCCTAGTGCAGAGTTCCACTTTTTACTGTTTCCAGCAAGCAGCAGGAGCTATAATGTGCATTTGTGTATAAAAGGAAATTCTAAACTTCAACCAAACTACATTCTTCATCGAGTCTGACGGTGTATTCGGTTGCAAATTGGCAAAAAAAACTTCCCCACTCGGTGCATCTGCAAAGCTTCACACGATCCTGGAACATCTGACGCCGGCTGAATAGTTTCATAGAACACCATGGAGCCTATTTCTGTACATCACAGGCCGATATTACTTGCACAGCTATATAAATTCTTTCTGCAGCTTTATATTATACGTGTGGTTACACACAGATGTGGTCCGCTCAGATGACGGGAGTCATGAGTCAGTGTTTGAAAGGAGCCTTTTCACATCACACAGCGTGGAAATTCAAACACTGCACGTCCTTGATAAGAAATTTCGGGGCGACCGCTTGAATGTGGTCGAGCAAGCCTTTAATCCAAAAACCGGTTCCTTACTGTGATCCAGGACTTGCCTGTTGATCAAACCTATTAAGAGCGTAGAGTAAACAGTCCTCCTGCTCTTTGATCAAAACTATACGATAAGGAAAGAGTGAAGTATGACACCTGAATACAGTGACTGATAAAGGAGCAAATGGATTAATAAACCATTGTAGGTGTTTTAGTGACAAGGAGATGATTAACAAGGAGGTAAAAGGACCGTTGATCAGCAGCCAAGCACACTTAAACCTTGACTCATCATATGTTAGCATACAAACAGCACTGAGAAGTATCATCCCAATCATCTGCTGCTCAAGCTGAAGTGGGGTCATCAGAGTCGCCACTCGACGGAGCCGACCGCCATCAGCCCCGGCTGAGACACATTAAGGTTTAAATGGCAGTAAATAACAGTAAATGCTGTGATTATAGCACTAAATTCTCCTAATGCTGGAGGGCTTCCATCCCGCCAAGAGCTGAGACATCATGCTGGCAGCAGGGAGGAGAGGAGGGGAGTTCCTGACATGCTATAAGGATCGGCTTTTCTGACAGCCAGCCCAGGAAATCCTCCATTTGGACAGGTAAGATTTATTTTCTGGAAAGCATAATGAGGGTCGTAAACCAAAGTGGATGGATCGTTTTATGAACGCACATGTGACGAGGAGGGGGCGAGCTCTCAGAAAATATAGGAAGTAGGTGACTCCTGATGTGATTAGGAAGAAATCCCTGAGCGCTGTGACGTCAAACCTCTCTCACCCCCAAAGTCTGCTGCAGCGAGGGATTCATCCGAGGCTGACAAGCAGCAATCACACCCCAACACGACGCCGTGGCACACAATGATGTGACTTCCACCTCGGCTTGATCCGCTTTTTATAATGGGCTTACGGGCTATAAAATAAAATCCTGCTCTGTCACAGAATTTTAAAAAAAGCCATATAATGAAACCTTTGCCCTCCTCCTTAAGTCTCCAAGTTTACAAACACGCAGACGTAAGAACCGGCTTGCTCAAGAAGTCAAATTCCTCCTCTGGAGCAGCCAGCAGTGTGTATATGAGAGCACTGGGCCAGGCGACAATCACGTTTGACCCACATTCTGCCAGCTCTCACATTTCACCTCACTGTTCTGCTGTGCAGGTCTTTATTCGCCGAGCGGGGAGCGGCGTGCTGGAAAGCAAAAAGTTATTTGTTATGCACAGTTTGTGGCTGGAATGATAAAAAGTGTTGCAGCACATGAGAAGATGGAGGGTTTGTGTGCACACGTGTGACCAAAGGAAACTTCATGTTAAAGTTCTGCATCACTTTCTGCACTTTAAAGCCTGAAGGAACAAAAAAACAAGAATGTTCAGGCAGTCCCAGGTAACATCATTGTTGACAGACACTTTATGATGTGACAGATGTTTCGATGGGGGCTTCAGTAGTGAGCCAGCATGTGGTCATAAAAGAAGATGGTCATAAAAGCAATAATTTGCCGTGTTAGGACTGCAGGTGTTGGGAAACTTACAGAAGCTGAGAGATCACAGGACAGATGTTGTGTTTGGGGCAGAAAATGGGATTCATTTTAGTTTTAAGTGGGATAAAGTTCAGATTCAGATCAGAGTTATGAATGAGAAACTTGTTCTGGTGCAACAGCAACAGATGCACCTCTCTGACACTTCTTTTTATTATTATTGTGGATGCCCCCCTTTTTTCCTTCTTCCTAACAACAAAGAAAAGGATCAGGCGTGCTGGACAAACAGAGGTCCAACCTACACACACAGCTGTCCCGTCCCAGGACGCTGGAGCATGGAGGGAACAAAGACGCACCAAAAGCACTTTTTTTTTTTTTCAAACTCACCAAAACGATTGCAAATCTCTCCTCCAGTTCACCTGGGTCCGGCATGGGCAGCTTCAGGGGCATGTTGTGTCCCCTGAAATCAGTGTGCTGGTCCATGCTCCCTGCGTTCCCCATGTTTCCTCTCTCAACTTTTTTTTTCTCCCCCCTCACTCCTTTCTTCGTCCACTTGAGGAGAAAAAAAAATCTCCGCACGGCGAGGAAAAAAAAAAAGAGAAAATATCCCCCTTCTTTTTTTTTCTTTTTTTTTTGGTTGTCTCCCCTCGCTGAATCCTCACAGGTTTATCCAGGTCACTTCTTCTTCTTCTTCTTCTTCAACATGAAACACATGTGAGGTGAAGAGGGTCCGAGCGGCGGCTTCGGCGGCGGCAGCAGCGGTTCTCCTGGTGAAACATGTTCACGGCAGCAGGAAGGGAAGGAAGCTGGAGGACGCGGGACGCGGTGCGCAACGGAGCTCTCCAAAAAAGCTGTTATCCGTATCTTGCACAATTTCGGCTCCACTCCCAGCCGGTAGTAGTGACGACGAGCATGATTCACGCTTATTGCAATCCCTCCGTCTGTCGGTGGCTGAGTGAGCGGAGCTGCTTCTCTCCTAATCCCCGCACTGCTGAGTTAAGGCGCAGGAGGAGCAGGAGGAGGAGGAGGAGGGGGTCCGTCCGCGCACACTCTCATCCCTCCCCACAATGAGCCCTTTCAGGGGGAAGCCTCCCACTTCTTCTCGGGGCGTAGCTCCCAAAAGCCGTAGCTAAGGAGATGATATTTTCTGTGTTGCATTGTGGTATTTTGAGTCCATTGTAGGAGACAACAAACTTTGGGTCCATGGCGACCCCAGCCCCTTAAAGTGGGCCCCTGGCTGCGCACAGGGCCTCCCTCCCTCTGGTGCGGCTCAAAGAGGCAGCTCTGTGTTAATTGCTACATGTGTGTGTTTGTGTACACGTGGTGGTGGAAATGCAAGCAGATCATTTGTTGTATTTGTGCACAAGCTGTTCAAGATTTAAGGGATTTTAATTTGTCACATGCTCAGAATTTGGAGGAAGTGTTCCACAAGGATGCGCAGTAACGACAAGACAAAGAACATTCTCTAAAATATAAAAAAAGTCAGAAATAGTCAGACTAAAATGCAGTTTACACTGTGCAAGAGTTGCAGTTGTGTGCATACAGTCGTCCTCAAATGTATTCGTACCCTTCCATTAAAGAAAAGGCAAAATTCACAAAAGTCACTCAAACAACTAGAAACTGAAAAAAAGTCATAATAAATAAAAATTTGCTAAATTATAATTTAGTGAAATAAGACATTGCTTTTGAATTGTGGTTGAAAAGAAGAATAAAAAGAAAGAAAGAAAGAAAGAAAGAAAGAAAGAAAGAAAGAAAGAAAGAAAACTCTCCCGGACAAATTAGAGCACAGGTCCCATCATGATTGTTTTGTTTTGTTTTGTTTTGTTTTCTTCATTTTTTAATGTTTATTTCTGTTAAACTACAATTCAAAAGCATTGTCATGATTTTCATTAAATTTTTATTTATTATTACTTTTGTCAATTTTCAACTTATTTCAGTGACAGAATTTTATTTCAGATGCCAGTTCTTTATTAGATTAGAAGAACTACTATTTGCAAGTGTTGAAACCATTTAACACCCGTGAGGCTGCTTCAGCTACTTTGTTTTAAATCAAGTGTACTGGGACTGAATTCAGTGCTGTAGTTTGAGTAAAGTACTGTTTTAAATTAATGCCACTTCTCTTTCTGCTTTGGTGATGGCAGCTTACTTTTGTGGATTTTATTAGCTTGAAATTGTACTTGGTTTCTCTAAACTGGTATCTAATTACAGCAAAAGTGCAACTCAGCCACTATTTTCTTTGAGAATTACAGAGTAAAGAAAAGCGATGAATAGTAAGTGTAGTGATAGCATCGTGTTTTACGTTTTACTTTGCAGGAAAAAATCAAGTTAACTTTTTGTAAAGTTAAGTCAACATAAAGTATTTGTGTTACTGAGAAAGAAAAAGACTTTATATAAACAAAAGCATTGTTGAGTTCAATCAACTATTAAAATATATTGTTTGTACAAATTGGCTTCATCTGTTTAATTAAATTTACAAAATTTTCAGAAAATGCAAGTTAATGCTTGACACTGTATTTCAAGATCTTTGGAGAACCCCTGAATGACAGCAGTCACTCAGAATCACTGTACGTTTACCACCGCTTCTACTTTTCTTTTCATTTTTTATGAAAAAAACAAAGATTCACGGTATAAATCCAAACACATTTGTTGCTTATTTTTCTCCTTCAAGATCTTCAACATGAGCTCCAATGAAATCTGATCTGGTCAGGGTGGAGGCCGCATTACGCACAAGAGGATGACATCAGCATGCAGCGCTCTGGAGATAATCCAGAGGTTCTCCAGATGCACAGTGGTTTCATTCAGCCTGCTGGACTGATTCCGTCAGGGAGGGTGTCACATCTGAGGTTAGCTGGCTGGACACATTGAGGATGCAGCTGACTGACCTCATACGATCGTTACGTGTTCCAAGTTAAGTTGATTTGGCTGGTCCAGGACCCCTCCCCCTGTGTTGTCTGCTTTATGCACTGCGTGCCACATGTTTATCAACTGAATGGATTTTATTCACTCAGACGGTGTTCCACATTCTGGCGTTCTTTCAAAATCGATATCAAGGATGCTGCTGTGAGAGACTTTATAGATCTGCATTTAGCCATTAAGAGATATGAAATGTATGGAACCGTGATGGGCTTGGAATGAATGAGAGTTTTATACGTATATTAAGCATTTGAGCTATAATGAAAACAGATGGAGGGCAC